GTAAAATAAGTTCTTAAATTTAATGTACTTATTGTTATTTATGGATTTTATTAGTTTAAGTGATAATATGATTTAACCATGCAATTGTGTAAAAAAACATAAAAAATAAAATAAGTTAATAAATAATAATGTATATTAATTACTTTTTAGTATTATAATTTTAATGTTATGGGATCTGTTAGTATACTACAAAATATACTAAAATAAAATAAAACAAAATTTGTTACTGTAACTATTTTTGTACATTAAATTTCAACAATGTCTATTCTTTAGAGTGACATTTAAAGAGTTTTCCAATGATCATAATATAATAAACATTTAGAAAATTTCAGAAAATTGCATTAATTTATAATCTCTTGATCCAAATTCGGATATAATGAGATTTTTCACAATGTGATCACTCTTTTTTCGGAATTTTATAGAGAAATGCATGAACATCCAAAAAAAAATTCAACAAATTGCAATAAATAAAACCTAGAAAAAACAATATGCAACACAAAGTTCATGATATAAGAAAAATGCTACAGATTCCTTCATTACCAAAAAACATATAAGCTAAATATTTAAAATAGACATATTACTACCAAAATTTTCAGTGATTGTTTTTTATAATATCATTCTATTTGTTTTGTCACTTGCATAACATTTATGAAATTATCATCGATCTTATCATATTTTTTTCATAAAAAAAAATATTACGAAGACATACTAAATCAAATGTAGTTTCACTTTACGGGTTTTGAAAGTTTCATATAATTTCTTTATTACTAAATATGTTTATTTAATTTACATATTTCGATAAAAGAAAAGTTATAAATTTATAACAAATAAAAAAATAATAAATAAAAATATTCTAGAGGTATGAGATGTAAATCATGAAACTAAATCACGCCATTAAAAATATTTTATGGATTATTAGAAAAATATCATTTTCCGATGATCCATAAATTCTAGTCGAATTTGATTTATCCAATAAATGGATTACAAAGTTCTCAAACATTATATTTTTCTATGTGTTAAATAAAAAAAACCAAAAAAAAAACAAAAACAAAAAAAAAACGAAGAGAGATCGAGAGAGAGCAGTAAAGTGCAAATATATTAATTAGATGTATTGATTGCAATATACATAATATTTTTACGTACATAACAATATGTAATATACATAGATATATAATAACTTATATATAATAACTTATTATTTTTACGTACATAACAATATGAAATATACATAGATATATAATAACTTACTATATACATAGATATATAATAACTTATTATTTTTAGGTAACATAACAATATGAAATATACATAGATATATAATAACTTACTTATAAGGGTAGAATAGGAATCACAAAAAAGTTAAGAAACATAAAACATTCATGCTTTTAAAGGTAGGGAGATTATTTGTATCGGAATTATTTTCCCAATTTTCCTTGTATATAAGGAGTACTACGTATTTTCCTTGTAATGGCAAACAAGGTTTTTAGCGAGGTCCATCATTTTATGAAATAAAATATTTATTTTCTGCTCAAAGATAAAAAATAAATAAATATGGAATGTGTAATACTTACTCCCTTCTAATTATTTAAAATTTTGAATTACATGACAATAACATAAAAAGAAGATTAATGCCCGTAATGAAAGAAAATATGAAAAACACTACATCATAAATATTTTATACATGCAAGTAAAATACATCATAAATATATTTTATTTATTTGTTTTAATATTAGTTATTTTAATTTGTTTTCAGTGTTTTGTTAAATTAGAAAATATTGTATCCAACTAACATTTGAAATATTATTATTTAATTTTAACTATGTTTGAAAAATATGATAATTTATAATCTTAACAAAATAAAATATGAAAATTAAAATTAGAATACTTAATACAATAATAAAAAACATATTTATGATACATTGTACATCACTTAGTTGAACACATGACATGAGCATGGTTAAATCTCTCTTCTTTAGTTAAAGGATGCCTATGACGACGATAATCTCCTAACCAAGTATATTAAGATATAGAGCCATAAGTCGTCTTGTACGTGTATATCCTATCTAGCATCATAAAAAATTGGGTAAATAGCACTTAACCCCCTTGTGGTTTGAACATTTTGCACATGACCCCCTTATGGTATGAATTTAGGCACATAACCCTCTTGTGGTTTTGACATTTTGCACATGACCCCCTTATGGTATGAAATTAGGCACATAACCCCCTTGTGGTTTTTAAATTTTGCACATGACCCCCTTGTGGTACGAAATTAGCACATAACCCCCTTGAATAAAAAATTGGAAAATACTAAATTACCCCTATCAAGTCAAAAGTTCTTGTTTTAATTTAAAAATAATTACTCTATAAATTGAAAAGCTTAATGTACTTTTTTGTAAAATGAGAAATATAATATATTATTGTGTTTTTTCTATTTTACCGCTCAAATATTTCTTTTAAAATTTAATTTTCATATCAACTTTAGAGAAATGTATTTTTTTTAGATTTTTCCAAAAGAATTAAAAAAAATAAAGACCATGTTTCTTAAAAAGATTAATGTTCGATAACACCTATAGTATAATATATTACATAGAAAATAATAATATAATAATCATAATTAATGATAATGTTAAAAAAATTTAAACTGATTTTTAAAATCGAATAAATTTTCAATCGCACAATAACTAGTATTATATACCTTTTGTGCTGTAAAATTAAGAAAAACACAATAATATATTATATTTCTCATTTTACAAAAATGTACATTAAGCTTTTTATTTTATAGAATAATTATTTTTAAATTAAAACAAGAATTTTGACTTGATAGGGGTAATTTAGTCTTTTCCAATTTTCTATTCAAGGGGGTTATGTGCAAATCTCATACCATATGGGGGCCATGTGCAAAATTTCAAAACCATAAGGGGGTTATGTGCCTAATTTCATACCATAAGGGGGTCATGTGCAAAATGTCGAAACCACAAGGGGGTTGTGTGCCTAAATTCATACCATAAGGGGGTCATGTGCAAAATGTCCAAACCACAAGGGGGTTAAGTGCTATTTACCCTAAAAAATTATAGAACTTCTTGGATACGCGATTCAAGGAAACATTTAACAACTATTTTTCTGTGTGACTCTCATTTTTCTCTTGATTCTTCTATTCATACACTTATGGAATTCATGCGCAAAACAAAAGATTAAATCGAGATACAATATTAAATATCATTATTACACAGAAATAGACACATAATAAAACGTAAAAGAACATAAAGAGGCTAGTGAATATTGGAGATTATTATATTAAATGATACATTTCACTAAAAGTTTAAGCTTTTGGTTCAGATGTTCATTCAACATGGTATCAGAGTCAGGCCAAATGAAAGGTCATGAGTTCGAATCCCACCGCTACCCATTCAAATATTTCAAGTGTAAGGTTTCAAATGTAATTCGTCTGCTCTTGAAGGAGCGTATTATAAATATTTAAAATGATACATTTCACTAAAAGTTTAAACTTTTAGTTGAGGTGGTTATTCAACGGCGGAAAAATTAAACGGAGAAACACATCACATATCATTTAGAAAATGTTTGGCAGATTAATTATTCAACTCTGCTGATATGAAAAATTTATATCCCAACCAAAACAAATCTCATACCATGTGAAATTAATGACATGTTAGATGTTCCTCACATGCCTTCAATTTTGTTTTGGAAAAAATCATGTAAGGCTTTTCTGAAAGGAATCTTACTATTTAATCTATTTGTCCAATCAAAGGATTTATTAAGATACCTAGAAATCTCTAATAGAATAGGTATTTATTTTTTTTAATAACGCAATTATAATATCACTTATTTTTTTTTAATAACGCAATTATTTTACTTGATGAAGAAGAAAGATATAACTTATTTTACTTGTCCGATGAAACAATATCGGTGTACGGCTTTTATGGGGTTTCAAAGCCATCGCCCGTAGCAGACTCTTGACGGAGATGGATAGCAGAACGATCGTGTTATGAGGTCTAAGGATACAATAGTACTCCAAAATTCATTCAGATCTTGCACCGATTAAGCGTCGAATTTTAAATAGCTGATAAAGTTGTTACGTCTAATTTTTAGAACTAATTTTTGAAGCATTTGTATAATGAATCTATAAATTATTTTTTACTTTGAGAAAAGAAAAAAGAGAATTTGCTCTCAGCAAATTATTTTTTGAATTTTAATATATTTAAAAAAAAATTACCAAACCATTGGTAGAGTTTATAAACTCTTTAGAGATTAAATTTTGAGTGGATCAGCCGATATTTCATATAAATCGGATTTCACTAACTTTTTGATATGTGACACTCTTAAGTCTTAACTCTTAATAAATCACGTTGTAACCTTAATTATATTTTTATTTAAACTATCCACGTGTCAATCATCCTATGACATCCGATTTTCCTATTAAAACAGACCAACTCTTTAGTATCTTATAAGCTTCTTTTTTATACCATATAAGCTTAGCCAAACACCCTCTATATAGTTACCAAACTAACTTAATGCCGAATATGCTTACCGAATCAGCACATGACTTATTAAGTGGTCCATTAAGTACAATTAGACATAGCTTAAGTGTTATGATGGGGTAAGTGTTTTTCTTTTCTTTTTTTTGTTTTGAGAAATGGGGTAAGTGTTATACACCCCATAGTTGAACCGAAAAGTGTATTTCGCCATAATAATTTTCAATTTTGTATTATTGTAAAGTCCTTTTGTTATTTTGATAATCTTGTTAAGTCCTTTTTATTATTACTTCAAAATAAACTTGTCTAATACTGAAAGATGATGTAAAGCTAGTCCCATTGACACTACAATCATTGTTCAAAATGTTAAAAAAAAAAAAAAAAAAAAAAAAAAAAAAAAAAGAAATAGAAAAAAAGAAAACTTGGACAAGTATCATGTAGTGTAAAATATTCAGTACCATTGTCTGCCTGTCTGCCCTCAGATGGGTTGCTCTAAAGTCTAAAGAAAGCAGAATTCTTGAAGCACAATTGAATTATCCCATATTTTTCTTTAGATTTTGTTTACCACAAATTCAAATCCTTTTGGTTTTTCTAGATTTTTTGGTAACGAAGGAACTCGCAGCCAACTGTATAGGTGTACTGGAATTTTTGTAGGTTCGTAATTAATTCACTTTGGATTTTTCATTCCAGATTTCTTTTGCAACGTGACAACATAGGTGATATATAAAACAAGATGTAATAGAAAGTTCATAGTAAATCACAATAATTCAAAGTGTTATGACAAAATAAACTGAAAACAAATTAAAATGCAAGAAATAAACCCCAACCCTATTAATTGTTAATAATAAAAATTACTCAAAGTTTAAACAAACACAACAGATATAGGACTTCTAACAGAGTGATCTGCAGAGTTCCATTTTATAAACCCTTCACCGTTCTTCTTCGTCGCTCCGTCGGCTGCCGATCTAGTGAACGTCACGTTATAGCTCAATTTCTGGCCCAATTCCCAAAACCAAAGTCTCTCGGGTTCCACTCGCACAATCACGCCGTCAGGCGAAACGATCTCCACGTCAAACGACGCATTCGCCTTGCCAACGTTGGTCACCGTCCTCGTATAACTCTGAGGAGTCGATCCAAGTATAATCGAAAACGAGGGGTAGTTCAGTTGGGAGTCGATAATGCTGTTTACGTCCGAACAATCCACGTTACGCTGAACGACGACGCTCACTTCTTTGTCCGTGAAATTCATGCCGCACAAGTAAGGAATATAGTCGTCGGGCGATATATCGTAAACTAATCCGGGATCATTTGCCTGGGTAGGGTTCACGTGGCCCGAACCAATAGCAAACAGCTCCGCGGGCTGCATTTTGTCGTTCTCGATCGGATTTCCAGCACGGTTCGTAAAATCGGCTGTGGTCATAATTGCGGACTTGATGACAGCTGGCGACCAATCAGGGTGCGCGCTTTTGAGCAGTGCTGCGACACCACTTAGATGCGGGCATGACATTGACGTACCCGATATCATGTAGAATGTGGTATTAGGGAATATGGAATTAGGCCAAGCGGCAAGGATGTTAAATCCGGGCCCGATAATATCGGGCTTCAGAATCCCGGGGCTCGCTATATTAGGACCTCTAGAGGAAAACGGGGCAACAACCGGAGCTCGATTATCCCCTAGAACAGTTCCTTTGAACGCGATTGTGGCTTTCGGCTTGGAAGTTGAATTTAGGTAGGCTTGTATCTTTAGGCCATCCGTATAACCGATTTGAATTGCTGGAAGAGGATATACACCGACCATCGTGGTGTCGCCTGCTAATTCGTCGTTCACTAGAATTATTGCCGCGCCACCGGCACTCTTTACGGCTTCTGCTTTCTCGGTTCTCGACTTCGCTCCACCACCGTCGCACATGACTATCTTTCCTCTGACGTCGTCGATGCCGAAGTCGGTATCGCAGTACGTCGTTCCGGTAAGATTCGATCGAGGGTGAACGAGCTTTTTCTTTTTGATCGAGTGAAAACCTTTAGCCGTTTCGCCGTGTATTTTCTCACCGTTGCCGAGCGATGCGGTGACTAGTATTTTCCGGTCGGTGGTGCTGGCACCGACGGTCATAATCCACGGGGCTTGGTTCGTCAGGGTCTCGCTATCAGGGCCCTCGTTTCCGGCAGAGCAACTTACGACAATACCCCTCTGCATGGCCCTGTAAGCACCGATAGCGATGACGTCGTTAGGGTAAGGGGCGAATCCACCTCCGAGGGACATAGAGAGTACATCGACGCCGTCGTCTATCGCGGCGTCCATGGCGGCGGCGATGGCACTCTCCGGGCATCCCTCGGGTTGGCATGCTTGGTATATCGCCACATGGGCGTGGGGCGCGATCCCGGCGGCCGTGCCGTTGGCGTTGCCAAATAACGCGGCGCCCCCGACGAAATTCCCGGCTGCGGTGCCGGCGGTGTGCGTGCCGTGGCCGTCGACGTCGATGGGTGACTTGCCGAAGTAGTATCTGGCTCCGATCAGCTTGTTGTTGCACGAACCTCTCACACGGAGCTGGCATTTGCCCTTCCATCTTGCCGGCGGCGGTGGCATCCCTTCGTCGGAAAAGGAGGGGTGCTCCGGCGTGATTCCGGTGTCCAAAACACCGATGATGACTCCTTTGCCGTAGTTCGAATTTTCCCATAGGCCCGTGTTTTGGCTCAACCCCAAGAAACTGGGAGAATGAGTGGTGTGCAGGGGCAACATCCTTTCGGGCCGGGCCGAGACGAAACCCTTCTTCTGCCGCATGGCTTCGACTTCAGCTGCCGATAGTTTTGCGGCGAAACCCGAAAACACATTGCGGTAGCGATGCAATATTCTCGGCTGGTCAATAACGGCCGAGTCAGCTTCTAAATTAGTATTCGTCGGCAAGAACGAATCGTAAAACGTTTCGAGATTGTCGGATTGTGCAGGATCGACATGGACAATGTATACATCAAGATTTTCTGCTTTGAGAAATTGATTTAAATTGAGTATGCAAATGAGAGCAAGAAAAAAAGTGAACCCCATAATATTGCAGGTAGAAGAAAAGGTGAAGAGATCTTATTTTGATGTATGGTGTGGGAAGACTTTATATAGTGCAAATTCGGACGAGCCTGAAAATTCAATTCAACACATAGTTAAGGTATTTTCCTTATTTAAGATGCATGAAACGTTTGGATTTGAATACATTGGTAATAAAGTAACGATTAAGTAAGTATATTTACGTTTTCAGTCGTAATAATATCTTGATTTAATTTGTGATTTAGTAGTGTTGTCGGAAAGATTCTATTGAATTTATACCTTGTATTAAGGCAAGATACATTGTAGTCAAACATATTAGTTTGAGTAAATAACGCTATTTATGTAAGTTTCTTTTCTTAAATCAAATATATATTGGCAACTGGCAAATAGGTAAAAAAAATTACTTAATTAAAAAATGTACATCTAATTTTTTTATCTTGCAAATAAATTCATGTCATTCAAACTTATTTTCAAATAAAGAAAATTCTTTTGTATATACTAAATTTACCCCTATCTCCTTGAAACCTTACTTCAACTCTAATTTCACAATTTACACCCAAATTTAGTCTAATTTCACCAATTAATCAATTTTAACCATTTTTCCAATTTGACCCAAATTTTGACTGCCACCGCCGCCGGAGACTGCTGATCAGCCGCCATGAACTTTTTATTCTTTTTCTTATCTTTTTTTTTTCTAATTTTTTTTTTCCGGCAGTATTATTTACTAAATACAATTTTTCTTATTTAATTAAACCCCACTTGTCATTTTTCTCCCTTCCCCACTCTCTCCCTCTCTCCCTCTCTCTCCTCTGTACATTTGAAAGCAGCTGCCTTTTTCCTCTCCCTTCTTCCCTTTCCATTTTCCTTCTCTACATTTCTCTCCATTTCCGGCAACATAGTGATTAGATCCGGTTTTGCTCGACGTTTATCGGCCTTCACCCCAAGATCCGGCCCTCACCGACCTTTACAGCCCATATCCGACCATCTAAGACCTCCAAAGCACCATTTTAGACAAAAACCGGGGTCTTCCACCGGTTTCCGGTTTTTCGATTTTTCCGGTCGAACCGGTGGTTTTGCTCTCTGACCCCGGTTTTTTATTTCTCCGGGTTTCAGTGTTGAACCAGACCGCCAAGAATGCCGGGTCGCAGTCGAACCGGTCGGACCGGCCGGTCCGGTCCGGTTCTGACAACCTTGGTATGCAATATTATTGTCTCAGAGTCGGTATTATTACTGTCTGAGACAGTAATTTTACTATATTAAGTAATTTTATCGTCCTGGCCTGCAATTTTGCTTTCTTTACTGTCTCTGACCGTAATATTATTGTCTACGACCGTAATATTACTATCTCATGTAGTAATATTATTGTTCGGGAAAGTGATATTAGTAGCTCTCGTTTGGTTGTCAAGATAAGATTAGTCAAGATAAAATAGTTCTCCTATAAAATAATAGGTCAAATATTTTATAAGATGTTTGTTATGAAATTTTGAATTTTTTATATCACCATTATTTAATAGTATTTGATGTTTGGTTTCCTTAATGTCAACCAATTACTAAAAAATGACTGAATTACTCTTTCTTATTGTACATAGTTTTTTTCTTCTTCTTTCAAATATTTATATTTTTTTTTATTTTGTATCTTTTTCGATTTTTTTTTCTTATGTTTTTCCGATTTTTTTTTTTCAAAACAAAGTGTTTTTTTTATATTTTTCGAAAAACAATTATACCTCTATTCATTTTTTTCAAAATTTGATTTTAGCTTTTTCGGTTTTTTTTCCAACAAATATACTTTTCGAACTTATTTTTTCGAAAAAAATATTTTTTATTATTTTTTCGGAAATTTTCTTTTTATTTTTTTCGGAAAAATAAATTATTTTTTGATAAAAAATTTGTTTGTTTATCTCGGAAAAAAAATTATTTTTCGATTCTTTTTTGATATGTTTTTCAAAAAAATTATTTTTTTTCGAATTTTTTATACTAATTTTTTTTTTAATAATTGAATATGTCATTGTGATAAATAGATGAAAACTAGAAGTGCAATTATGTCATTAACGTGTCTAATCATAGCACAATAATTTTATTAGACCTCTCAAGGTCCAATTAGTAATCTCCCAATCAGTCAACATAAGCCCTGACAAAATTATTTTGGCGGATCGACCCGCAAAATAATAGGGCTAAGCAAACATCAAACTAAACCTTACTATTTATTTAATCTTGACTAATCTTCACAACCAAACGGGACCTTACTGTTTTGGCATTCAATATTATTGTCTCAGAAAATAATTTTGTTGTTAATACAGTAACCTAGAGAGAGAGAAAAAAAAAACGTCAATGCGCCAGTCCCCGGCAGTTGACCAGCCGGAAAAGAAAAATCAGAAAAAAGAAAAGAAAGAAAGAAAGCCAACGCCGATATCTGGCCGGAATAAAATCAGAAAAAAAAAATTATTTTCTAAGAAAAACATTTTTTAAAAAAAATTACGAAAATTTGGTTAATGTGATATATTTGTTCAAATCCAGGGTCAATGTGCAATATTAGTGAAGTTAGAGTATTCAGGATGAAAATTATGTTATGAGGGGTACAAAAGACATGGACATGAGTTTATTTGCTGGACTGTTTTTCGTCCCGGACCGATGTTCGTTTAAGTCCCTTGTCATGAGCCTATTTGCTATTTGCCCATTATATATATATATATATATATATATATATATATATATATATATATATATATATATATGGGGCAGTTTGCTATAGGTCCCTCTATAATATAGGGGCACTTTGATATAAGCCCATCAATATAGGGGCACTTTGATATAAGCCCATCACACCATTTTGCATCATTTGCGAAAAAATCACCTTTTAATTTCAGTCATCAATTTTTTTAATTATATCACTGCCACATCATCAGCACTATCACCGCCCCATTAGCCTTTTTTTAATTATTATTTTTTTAATTTTTATTTTTTTTTTATTTTTTTTAACTTTTTTTCTCTATTAGGTATATTAATAAACTATAAAGCATATTAATCAACTATCATGAAGCATAACCGATAAATAGTAACTACTAAAAAAAACACAACTACATAAAAATGAAAATCAACATTTTTATACAAAACAAATAATATACATAAATTGTAATTGATTTATACAAATCGGAATCAATACACAAAAATCCAAAAACGAATTAAAAAATGAACTCGAGTAACCTTAATCGACTACCAAAACAGGCAATTAACACTTTAATCGACTATCAGAGCATAGTCGATTAAGTGACCAGCATGCGCGAATTTCACTACATGTGCCGTCCTCCGTCTAATCTACCAAAAAACCCTAAATTTGGTCTCTATCGTACCCACACTGCCAAGTGCCGCCACATCACACCATCAGCACTTCCCTTATAATCCTACGCTGCTTGCTGCACCACCACTCTCAACCATTGATATAAAGTACCACGACAATCTAATCTTCACAAATATCCAAAATATCCTCACAAGTCAACCCGTAATAAGAAAACCTCAATCACTTCTTGCAGATTCTTACAGCTGCACCTGTTGACAGTTCTCATCGCCATAGCAACTCCTATGTCCTATTCTCGTACCCAATCTCCAGTCTCCTCGCAACCTGGTAGAACGGCACCATGACACGGCCGAGCACCGTTGTATCAAAAAAGTACTTCGCGTTGGAAAAGACAGGAAAACAAGAAATAGGCTAGAGAAGAAGAGAAAAAAAAATGATATTTTCAGATGTAGTGAAAAGAACGAAGAGGGGCCAGGCCGTGCAAGAGTTAGGGTTAAGGCAGTTACAAACCATACGTGAGAGAGGGAGAAAGATACGTGAGATTTGAGAGGGTGTTAATGTCTATATGTTAATTATTTTATTTTATTCACATTATTTGTTAGGTCAAACGACCTATGCTTATACTAATAACTACGGTATCCATCTATATAAGTCCACAATAAAGTGTGTCTATTAAATTTCGTGTGTATATATATATATATATATATATATATATATATATATATATCTATATATATATATATATATATATATATATATATATATATATATATATGATATGCATGATTAGGCCAACTCAATGGGCATATCACACAACAACAAAAAAATAACTGTAATCCAGAAATTCAAACTTGGCCAAAGGAACATCATAATACAAGTTGTCATCATCTTCTTCGTCTTGTTGTTCTTAGACAAGTGAAACAAAATAAATTTAAGGTTTTGTGCTCTGCCGCACGAAACTTGAAGACGGGTTTCGTGCTCTAAAGAACGAAACACAGTTTCGAGCACGAAATAGTTAGTTATCTTTTATTTTTTTTGGGTTTCGTTGAACACGAAATTTTTGAACAAGTTTCGTTTCAGCAACACGAAATAGTGAAATTTCGCAAATAAAATATAGAACAACTTATTTTTATTAACATAATCGCGTGGGAATTTTATTAATGATATGCCTAATTGGGCCAACCCAATGGGCCTACAATTTCTTTACCTAATGGGCCACGAACCCAATATTTAAGACCACTATCACCGAGGCCCAATCACCTTCAAGTAAGATTTGGGCCCGACAATCTCAACTAAGGTATAAATAAAGGTTTGAACTCATTCCTTAATTGAACCACGTGTATTATCTGGACTATTTCCACTATCCGCACGTGTGACTTGAGCATCAGAGAGGTTTGCTTCGGATCAACCTCCGGCTTAGTTTACGTGTTCTATGATCGCAGGTATCTCAAGGTCATCAAGCTCATGAGCCAGTGATCCATTCTGCTCTTCCAACTCATCCCACTTCAACTCTCTAAGCTCATCCTACTTCAACTCTCTAAGGTGATCTAATCTCTAGCATCATCATTTTGGCGTCGTCTGTGGGAAGGCAAACATAATCACGCGGCACGCATGATGGCCTTGACACATTTGCTCAGGGGGAGTGTGACACTGCTAACGACCTCCCATCTCGTGGAGGCTCTGGACTGCCACTTCCTCCTTCTCGTGCTCGGGATCCACCACGAGACCTTCCTCGGATGTCCTACTAGATCCTCAACAGGATCCACTTCATCCTGCCCCTCGATCGATTTAGACAACCGAGGAGGCCCTTCAACGCTAACCAGCTCCCACCTCATGGAGGCTCCGGCTTGCCGATTTCCCTTCCCCGCATTCGAGATCCAACACTAGTTCATCCTCCCGAGGCCCCACTGGGTCCTCAATAGGATCAACTTCTCCTTGCTCTTCGAACAGTTCAGATAACGGAAAAGGACCTTGTATGATCGCAGAAGTTTCAACAAGATCAATTTCTACTTACTCCTCTAACGGTTCAGATAACCGATGAGGACCTTCAGCATACAATCGCATAAGCTTCAACT